TAGATAGATAGATAGATAGATAGATAGATAGATAGATAGATAGATAGATAGATAGATAGATAGATAGATAGATAGATAGATAGATAGATAGATAGATAGATAGATAGATAGATAGATAGATAGATAGATAGATAGATAGATAGATAGATAGATAGATAGATAGATAGATAGATAGATAGATAGATAGATAGATAGATAGATAGATAGATAGATAGATAGATAGATAGATAGATAGATAGATAGATAGATAGATAGATAGATAGATAGATAGATAGATAGATAGATAGATAGATAGATAGATAGATAGATAGATAGATAGATAGATAGATAGATAGATAGATAGATAGATAGATAGATAGATAGATAGATAGATAGATAGATAGATAGATAGATAGATAGATAGATAGATAGATAGATAGATAGATAGATAGATAGATAGATAGATAGATAGATAGATAGATAGATAGATAGATAGATAGATAGATAGATAGATAGATAGATAGATAGATAGATAGATAGATAGATAGATAGATAGATAGATAGATAGATAGATAGATAGATAGATAGATAGATAGATAGATAGATAGATAGATAGATAGATAGATAGATAGATAGATAGATAGATAGATAGATAGATAGATAGATAGATAGATAGATAGATAGATAGATAGATAGATAGATAGATAGATAGATAGATAGATAGATAGATAGATAGATAGATAGATAGATAGATAGATAGATAGATAGTGTTTTTTCCCAGTTGGGGTTCCACTAATAATAACCACTGATATCCTGGGTGAATATCAAATTCAGAACTTCAAGGTAATGACTGCATCACAAATAGGTCAGTAAATTGACTTGGGATAATTCACATTCAAGACTTAAATTAATTCAATGTTCAGTACTATGATTCTAGAATAATAACAATCATTACTGTTTTACTTTTGATATAAATGAACTTAATTAATCTTAATTTATCTCCACAATTGGTGGAATCCATCCCAAAGTCACGAATGACTATGTAAACATATTTTTGTTAAGAGTTTGTATAAAGATTGGTTCTTTCTTCTAGTTCAATAGTTAGAAATAGCTACAAGTACAAGTGGAATTCTCAACACATGGTATTTCAACAAGTTCCCTTTTCTTAATTCTTGATCAATCCTGACGATAAATACTGAGTGATCATCAGTTAGATATTAGAATTACAGAAGTCGACATCTGAATAATATTCATTCATTTCAATGCATATTGCCAGTCATCACGATGTTTCCTATTGTACAGTTTTGTAACTTGTACAATGAAAGATTGTAAACTTTTGATAAAAGCGCCCGAATAGGTTATGCCATTAGTAAACATAATAATATGTTAAAACAAGCAAAAACATATAGCTTGTTAAAATATCTAGATGGTAGGAACAAGTAGCCCAGATATTCCAACAGGCCGCTATCGGATAGATGTATACAAATATTTGATTATGTTCAACAAACGAAATGTAAATATTTCTTTAACATTGTTCATTGCAATATAAATTAATTGTAATATAAATGAATAAATTAGTATGACCGCATTCATTTACCGGCCATTTATTAACACACACACACACAGAGAGAAGCACGCACATATACATACATTAATACATATATTCGCATAAATACACCTTAAAGTGAACAGTTACACATAGACTTACCATTACATGACTGATCATATTTGAGTTGACACGAAAATTTGTGTCAAATATGTTATGTTATGTAAAGATATATACATATACATAATCACATACATTTAGTTCCTTCCGTTCAATTTTCGATCTTGATTTCATTTAATGATAACAGAATGACAGGCAGTTTTATCTTTATTTTTGAAAAAAAGGGAAGGAATATGGAACATTGTTGATATTCCTCTTCACTATGTAACACTCTCTTTACAACCACCCCACCTACCAACACCACCACCACCACCACCTTACTTTCGTTCTGTTACTTGTTTTATGTATCTAATGTAGAACTAATTACAACCTTTTCATTCACCTTTTTATTTTCTTCTTTATATTTGATTTAGTTCAAAACAAAATTTTATTTAAACATTCAGTTTATTCAATGTTAAGAATAATTGTAGATTATCATTAATGGATAACTATTTATAGCAGGAATAATTTCTATGGGTTACTTAAACATCGATATTTTGAAATTAATGTAAATGATCTTTTAAGGGTGTCAATTCGTTGAAGATTATTCACGAACTAGGTGTAGTTTTCCATGTGTACAACGTCTAAGTAAACAGTTACAATCTTCTGAATGATATAGGAACTATATATTAAATACTTTATTTGTAAATCTTTCATTAATTATCCTTCATATTCTGTATGATTCTTCCACTTCATAATTCTTATCTACTTACCTTTCTATTTTCTTCAATTTGATCTTCTCAGCCTATGTCTGTCAGGCATTCTACTTCTAATTAGTGTCATATACTACTTATGTCGACAGATATAAGTAAGATACACCATACTGTATGTTATTGTCACAGTTCAGTATATAATTTATCTATTCAGTATACTTAGGAGGTTTACAGAGATTGTTGAATTTTATAGTAAATATTCTAAATTGATCTTAGATAATCAATGAGAATATCATGAAAAATATTAGAAGTACATATATCCCATTTTAGTTGGAATAAAACATTGACTGGAATCCATTGAAGATAATATGACAAAGAATAAGAAGTCTGATCTTGAAAGATCTCACAATAAAAAACCCCCTTGGAATCAATATTAAATGATAACAAGTTTATAGTTCTGTATATCATTAGTTTTGTTATTCGAATGATTTTGTTCATTGATATATACGTATATCTTATGTTGGATACTTAAAACATTCTAAACTTGTTGATTACTGTTTTGTTAGTAAAAGATATTTTCGTTTGGTTCCGTATGAAATTGTAGGTTATAATCAGTTTTACATTTTTTGTATACATATGGAAACCAGAACATTCTATTGATCTACTCTATGAAAAAAAATACTAGGAAAGTTCGGTTTCGAATAAAGACTAGTTTAATATTTCCCCTTTTTATTCCCTCTCCCTTATCCCTTACTGAAAATAAAGAACTTATTTTAAGTAGTAATTATTTTTTTGATACCTGTAATCACTAGTTATGTAATAAATAAATGTTCTAGTAATCAAAGATTTTTGTGATTAGGTGTGTGTGTGTGTGTGCTTGGTTGGTTGGTCAAGGTATAATGGATAATTACGCTGACATGATCTTCATGAACAAGTTAAATCGTTTCCAAATTTAGCAACAGTTTTAAAAAAAATTATAAAGACTATAATTTTCTTGTATAGGGAATATATGCTCATATAGTTCACTATCATGCACAGTGATTATGACGTAATTTAAAGTGTTAACTATATATGTATATAGTGTAATTACCATAATCACTTTCATTGAAATAATAACCATAAAAGAGTGAACAAAAGTTATGTCATCATTAATGTTTAAAGGTAAGAATTAACTTGACCCATTCTTAAAATGAACTAAATTGCTGAAATATCATGGACTAATCTTAACTGATGAACTAATGTAAACTTATGAAGCTTTGGAGAGTATGTCGTTGTCAGTATAAATTTGAATTAGATAAATCTATGAAATTTATAGTCCATGCGTTTAATCTCACCGGCCGAATTTTCGGGTATAAACTACTAGAGTACCTCTATCTAAAAGAAGAAAAAAAAACCCTATTTAGTTCCTCATTATTTTATAATAAGTCATCAATTCAGATTCATCCAATACGTATACTCGACTGTCAATAGATGATGAATAAAAAGAATGGAAGCTTCATACATAGTGATATAGTGTATTATTAGTATTTAAAATCTGATTACTCCAGTATTTCAAGAGAACTACTATATATATATATATATATATATATATATATATATATATATATATATATATATATATAAGCAATGATGACCACTTTGTAAGTGTGTACTTTACATAAAAAAATGACCGGAAATCCAGATATTTTAGATTGTTTGGAAGTTAATGTTTATTATATATGTGTCTTTAACCATGGATATCGCTTACACAGTGTCATATAGTGTTTTGGACTGACATATTAATACTACTTTACTTTGACTACTGACAGATTTTCACCTCACTCTTTTTCAAAACTAAATAGTGAAAAGTATTGTTAACTTAGTGATTAACTCATTAGGTTATCATTTCAAAATTCTTTTCAGAAGCTGATTGATTTCGTGACAAGACTATAATTTATGGATGAACCAATCAGATATAAAATAACAGGTCTCGGATTTTGGCGTGAAATCCATCCATTTGGCTAAATAGAGTTTTGACATTATAGCTTATGTCTGTTCAAGATGAAAACCTTTAATTTAATTGCTAACTATAACCATAAACTGTAAATCAAAATTTTAATTCCTCACACTGGTTTATAACTCTCATTTCGTCTTAGTTATTAAGTGAACACTCTCAAAATCACCAGCGTTTCTCAAAGGTTATCCACTGATTTCGTTGATCTCCATATAAATAAATTGTGTCTAAAAGTTTAGTATATAAATTTGTACTTGGTAAATGAATTACATTACTGTATTAAGTAGTAAAGAATGTATAGATGATGGATGAGTAGATATATGTTTTATTTGTGATCCATGAAATTAAAAGAAACAATTCATTGCATTATTAAGTAATTAATGTATAAAATTTTAATTTCAATTATTAAGATCATGAGTCAGTTGAAGCTAGACCACCGTGGAAAATCTGGAAGCACTGGACGGCCGTTTCGTCCTACTGTGGGACTCCTCGTGGATGCGCACTGTTGGAGAGTCCCACAGTAGGACGAAACGGCCGTCCAGTGCTTCCAGATTTTCCATGGTGGTCTAGCTTCAACTGACTCATGATCTTAATCATTGAAATTACTATAATATCCACAAAACCCATCTAGTATTAAATTGTATTGATTTTCCCTTTATTAAAATTGTAGAATGTTTCCAATGACAGCATTCCCATTGAATCCAGTGAATTGTGGACGATCATCAACAGATTTAATATGGCCTAATACTGAAACATTACAGAATATTGGATCTGCATTGAATTGTGATAGTTTATCATATATTAATAATAATAATAATAATTCCTCATTGTCTAATCAAAATTCAATCAATAATAGTACATCATCAGCATTAATCACTAACTCTTCAAATTTCCTTTCCTCACGACCTAATTATACCTGTACTCTTAATCAAACTTATCGACTACAAGAAAATCGAATTCAAACAGGTTATTTAAATGAAGAATTATCAGATCAATGTAATGATAATATTGTTACTACTACCACCACCACCACCATCACCACAACTGCCACTCCTCCTCCTCCTCCTCCTTCTAATTGTAGTAACAATAATAATGATAAATCTCATATAGATATCTCCAGTAAATCATCTACATCTAATACAATGATGAAATCTGAAAGTTTACTACAATTAAATAAATTCCCTTCATCATTATGTAATACAATGAAATCAGATAATTCCAATTATGAGAATTGGTCAAATGATCATAGAAAACGTCATAAAAAGTCTAAATTACATTCTATTATTCATACAGATAATAACTTCATTCATAATAAATCAACTATCAATCGTATATCAACAGAGGAAACATCACCTCATTCATTATATATAGATGAATCTATGGATGAAATGATATACAATAAGGCAACTTCATTAGAGAATGAGAAAAATCAATTACATTCATTAGAATCATCTACAATCAATCTTGTATCTAAGACAAAATTATCTAATTTAAAACAATTAACTAATGAATTATCAAATGAACAACAACTACAGCAACAACAACAACCGCAGCAGCAGCAACAACAACAACAACCACAGCAGCAACAACAACAACAATTAAATTATTCATTTAATATGTTACCTACAAAAATGACTGATTATACAAATCAATTATTATGTAATGAATATAATGATAATCATTATAATAGTTTATCATTACAACAATATAATAATAATAATAATAATAATCATTGTCCACAATCTATTCATCATGATAAATCCCAATTGAATAAAAATATTAAAGAATCACTAAATCATATTTTATCTACAAATTATTCATTAAAACATAATCATTCACAGAATACAATAAATTCAATGAATGAAGAAGGAGTTGATGATGATGAAGAAGAAGAACAAGTAGAAGAAGAACGAGAGGAAGAAGCATATAAAACAATGATTAATACAAGTAATCATAATGATCATGATATTGTTACAAATTCTATTTCCATCATGACTACTACATCGACGCCGACATCGACGTCAACGACGGCGACGACGACGATGACGACTATGATTAATACAACTATTACTACAACTACAACAAATAGTATGATTAATATAGATAGAAGATTAAATGATCCATTAACACATTCTCATAATGAAATGAATACAGATACATGGAATACATCTATACCATCAGAATATTCAACAAATATATTACCACAACATTTAGCTTCATTCTATTCGACTTGTTCAAATGAGATTGCATTTAGAAAAAGTTTAATATTTAATAATCATCAAAATATGAATATAGAATCAACAAATTATTCCACATACAATAATAATAATAATAATAGTAGACAAGACTCAGAGTGTCGTACATCTTCATCACCATTACCTTCTATTATGCAAACTAATATAGACTTGAATTCAAGTTCTATGTTAAATTGTAATGAGGTGGATAATTTTAATAAAATATCTTCTTCGGATGAAATTAAATTCAATGTAAACACTAATAGTAATCATAATGAATTAAATGAAATGAATGCCAATTCAAAGTTCAACAATCCTATACAGCAACAACAATCTCAATCAAGGAGAATAATTAATGATTCATTAATACAGAATGATTTAAACACATGTAAGTCAATACATCATAATTCGAATCTCCCTCCTCCTCCTCCTCCTCCTCCTCCACATCAACAACCACAACAACATCAAAGACAAAGAGGATTTGAAGATGATCAAATGATTGATGATTTAAGTGTAGCATATCATTCAGCAGCAGCTATGGCAGCAGCTGCTGTTGTTGCACAAGCAGCTGTAGCAAGTGCAAATGTAACAAATCATCATTTGGAACATCAACATCATAATCATCGTCATGAACAATCAATACATCAACATCAACATTTACATTCACATCAAAATCAACATCAACAATCTCAATATCTTGATAATGAACAATCCATGTTACATACACATATGGAACAATATGGTGTACATACTAATAATAATGGTAATAATAATGATAATGTTTTACATCAATCACAGTATAATATGATGAATCAAAATTTAGGATTATTTCCTCTTATAAATAATACAAATTCATTGAATAATGCCCAGAATATAAATAAAACAATGAAAAATAAAAAATTAACAATGACAGGTCAGTAATTGATTTCTCTTATGTAATATCAGTTGCATAGGTAGATATTTAATCTTAATAGTTGAATTCATAAGGACTAGACACGCATGACACTGATCGCCACCCAGTGATCGATCAATTGTGATTACATCTCAGTCCTACAGGAGGTCGGTCGCGGCCTGGATAGCCCAGTGGTAACGTCTCTGACTGTGAAGCTGGGTGACACGAGATCGAATCCACCAGGGAGCACCAGTTCCCTCAAGATTACAGGTACACCTTGCTGACGAGTGTCAAGTAGCACGAAACCCGGGTCCAGGGTTTCCTGTCGACTACCTCCAACCACTATCTGATCTCAACATAGTGCATACAATGTTGGGTCACCAAGACTAGTAGCCACAATGCAACTTGGTCGATAGCATTCGATCTGAACTAATAAGGACTAGACACGCATGACATTGATCACCACCCAGTGATCAATCAATTGTAATTCATGAGTCCATTTAAGCTAGATCATCATTGAAAAGTTGGAAGCACTGAATGGTTATTGAGTCCTAGTTTTAAACTTTTCAGTGATGCGCATCCATGATTCCGCATTCCAGATTCGATAATAATCAATAATGTAAGTTATTAAATCAATTTCGTTAGATTTAAAGGTAGATACTTCGTACTGTTTGATATTTATCAACTGGATGCAAAATTTTCACAATTGGCTGTTTACACTAAGACTCAAGATCAGTATTTATTACGATGAACAATAACTTGTTATCTATGAAGCTACTAGGTTCATATTATCTATGGATATATTCAATGAAGATGAAGTCATCTGTAATAGTTTGTATTGTCTTTAACTGGATTCCTTTGATAGCAGTAATCCAAATATATTAGGTTTACTTAAAACAGAATTGTAGTATTATCACCTTCGAATTATGATTGGTACAAATTAAATAGCTCTTCAAAAATAGTTACATGGTTTACGTAATTAGATAATTCATTGCGGAATTACTGAAATTGTTGTTCATGTTTAGAGAAAACAGTAATTAAGAGTTTCATACTTGGTCATTTGAATGATGTTTGACATTAAATCTTACGACAATCTGGTCTTTCAATTCATCATATTTCTTGATACTTCCTTCATGGTTAACATAAACATTTTCTATACACGATTAAAGTCATCAATATTCTTCAATAATATTTACATTCCTATCAACATACCCATTGATTTCATCCAGTATCTTATTTGATGGACCAGAACGAATGATTTACGATTGTTTTTTTATCTTGTTCTCTATTTTCCAAATGATATATATAGTCAACTAATACACGATATTACGCAATCATCTTGCATTGTCTCTAGTGGGTGACTGTCCTAGGTTCAAGTCCTGTATGTAGGATTGTGAATGCTCACTACTGAGGTGTCATGTACAAGGATGAAACGGCTATTCAATGCTTCTTGGTTTTCAATGAAAATCTAACTTACATCGACTCATGAATTCAAATAATTCTATAACGAAACAATTCAGTTTATATGATAAATAATACCATAAGACACACAATAAATAGATTAGTAGTCAAATACAACTATCTGTAACAAACTAATAATTTAGTTCATTATGTAAATTATAAACAATAAAGAAGGAAATATTCAATGGATAATTAACATCAGATGGGTCTTGTGGATATTATAGTCATTTCAATGGTTAAGATCATGAGTCAGTTGAAGCTAGACCACCATGGAAAACCTGAAAGCACTGGACAGCCGTTTCGTCCTATTGTGGGACTCCTCAGCAGTGTGTATCCACAAAACCGCTCGCGAGATCCGAACCCATTAACACCGTTGGACGCATGCTCAGTAGTTTAGTGGTTAAGTGCTCGCGCGCGAAACCAGTAGGTCCTGGGTTCGAATCTCGCAGGGGGATAACTAACAAAATCATCATTATCATTCCATTGAGGCGAATAATTGGAACTTCATTTCAATTATTCTGTGAAGATTTTAAGCGTTTATGAGATTTACCTCTGAAATTTCTAGTTGAAATGATTTCTTTATTGATTTATTGAGTTATAGGTAAATATATTATTTTTTTATCATTAGCAACAAATAAAAAAACTAGTGGTGTTCAATCGGGTCTATTATGAGATAGTAACTCACTGAAGACAATGATGGATGTGTCGTCCGATCTCGTGGATTGGTTGAAATTAGACATTAACACCGTTAAATGCCGGTCACTTCAGCGGTCTAGTTGTAAAGGACTCGTACAAAATCGGTAGGTCTTGTGTTCGAATCTCGCAAGGCGGGATAGTGGGTGCGCACTACTGAGGAGTCCAACAATAGGACGAAACGGCCTTTCAGTGTTTCCAGGTTTTCCATGGTTGTCCAACTTCGATTGACTCATGATCTTAACTATTAGAATAAATCTTCATCTTTTGGAGCTCATGGATACATATTGTTTAAGAGTTCTGTATTAGAATGAAACAGGTATTTGATAATTCCTTGTTTTTATTATTCATTTATATACATTCAGTTCATAATGTAACATATAAAATAATTATACTAATCAATGAGATTATATTGACGAATAGAGAATGATCATAATTTATTTCTTCATTAACAGAAGGAAGAGAATGTGTCAATTGTGGAGCAACTAGTACACCGTTATGGAGACGAGATGGACAAGGAAATTATTTATGCAATGCATGTGGCTTATATCAGAAAATGAATGGTCAAAATCGTCCATTAATTAAACCTAAACGAAGATTGGTAAGTTGTCATTTATGATACCTTTGTATGTTGATCATTATCGTTATTAATAAACAATATTCAGTCATACTGAAAATTATCAAAAGGGGATTTTGTGGAGAATGCACTAATTTAATAATTGAGTTCATGGGTCAATTGAAGCTAGACCATCATGGAAAAACTGGAAGCACTGGGGGGCCGTTTCGTCCCATCGTGGGACTCTTCAGCAATGCGCATCCACAAACCCGCTTACGGGATCCGAACCCAGGGCCTTCATTCTTGCTCGCGAGTGGATGCCGGCTCAATGGTCTAGAAGTTAATCGTTCGCACGCGAGTCCCACGCACGGGATCGTGGATGCGCACTGCTGAGGAGTCCTACAATAGGACAAAACGGCCATACACTGCTTCCAGGTTTTCAATGATGGTCTAACATCATTCGGTTCATGATCTCAATCGAAAATTTAATAATCTCCACCACCCTTTACGGATAATGGTCAGTTTCTAATCCAAACTATAAAATTCAACAATCTTTACAAAAACCCCCTTCAATGATAAACGATTTTTTGAAGATCTATATCACAACATGTTCCATATGGTATACCATTAAAATTAAATAAATCAATTAGATAGAAACATAATTCATTTGTGCATTCAACATTTAATCTAATTGTTGATTAACATTTTTTTAATTATTATTTTCAGTCAGCTATTTGGTATTCACCTTAACAACAGCGGTAATATTGTCCATCTATTATTATTTTATAGAATTCAATTTGGACATTTCATACACAAGAAAACTACATGTAGCATTATCATAATTATAATAGAGTAATGTAATAATAATAATAATGGTTACTACCGTCATTTCACTTACATAATGTTTTCCCATATGGAATAGAAAGTAGTAAAATTTGATGGAATGCATATAAGAAATAATCTATGAAATATGATTGATTAAGTCACGTTTGGAAATAAGAATTGAATGTTTCTTGTTCTTTAAATAACCAACTTAATTATTTCCATAACAACGTATCGATTAATATTCTGTCTAGACTTGGATAATAAGTCCTGGATCATTTTTATTTATTTATTCGAAATATGATTTCCTTTTAGTTGTTTTAACTAGTTTAGAGAAAGTAGTGACTGGTAGAATTCATTGAAGTTGAGAGATTGACATAGATCATCGAGGATAATGACTGATAATTTTAATAGTTGAGATCATGAGTCAATTGAAGTTAGACAACCATGGAAACCTGGAAGCACTGGACGACCATTTCGTCCCATTACAGGACTCCTCAGTAGTGCACATTCACGAACCCACCTTACGAGATTCGAACCTAGGACCTGTCGGTCTTGCGAGCTAACGCTTAACCTATAGACCATTGAACTGTCCAAGATCCAACGGTGTTAATGTCTAATTTCAAATAATCCACGAAATTGTGCCACCGTACATCATAGTCATCAGTGAGTTACTATCTCACAACAGACCCGGTTGAACACTATTGGTCACTTCTCACTAGAATTCCAGGAAATACCTCTTGAAGCCAGTCACTAATGAGCATATGTTGATTAGTATTCATTCATGATCTCAACTGTTGAAATTACTATAATATCTACAAAATCCCTTCTGATACTAATGACTGATAGTTGATCAATTTTTTTTCTCTTTTTTAACTGATTAAAATTAACATAATGAAACTCGATGAATTCGCATTGGGTCAAAATGTATTAAGGTCCTATATAACATATTGGGGTTATGTAGAAATTTTGATTAAGAGTATACAACTATAATGTAATAGTTAACTTGTATTCTTTTTCCAAAACTTCAATTAGTGATAAAAAACTAAACCTATAAGCGGTAGTGATTATAAATATAGATTGCCTATTAACTATGAGCACTAACATGATCTCTAATAATTTTATATATAAAACAATTAACGTATTTCAATACCTCACTGTGTGGTATTACGATTATTATTATTAAATAAGAACTTTTGTCTAGATTTCATCGAATGGTTTCACAATATTTGGGTGCTAAGTTGATGTAAGACATTAAAGAAGAAGAATGTTGTATTTATAAAATCATAGTGAATGAATATGAAGTAAACCCAACATTTCGCTTAGTAATTTGGTCCGAGCTTTTTTCAAGGAAACATCAGAATTATCGAATATAAATAGGTACGTAGTTCTTCGGTTTACTGTATACTGAATAAGTCATCCAATCAGGGTTAACAATGTTTAAGTTAGGTATTTGCAGTATTATGTAAGAGATATGTGGTGTGAAACGAAAAGTGTTAAGATAACAGATTGTGTGTAGACGTAAGTGAGAAGAAAAAATTTCATTTACTATATATTGTCTTTGGTCGGTGAATATTAAGAACACATGTCTCTTACACATATAATACAAATACCTACGTCAAATATTATTAACATTGATTGGATGACCTATTCAGCATACAGTAAGCCGAAGAACTACGTACCTATTTATATTCGATAATTTTGATGTTTGATTATATTTCCTTGAGATTGCCAGGCGAAACATTGGATTTACTTCAAATTCATTCGCTGAGATTTTACAAATACATTCTTCCTCTTTATTATTATTATTATTATTATTATTATTATTACTACTACTACTACTACTAGTAGTAGTAGTAGTAGTAGTAGTAGTAGTAGTAGTAGTAGTAGTAGTAGTAGTAGTAGTAGTAGTAGTAGTAGTAGTAGTAGTAGTAGTAGTAGTAGTAGTAGTAGTAGTAGTAGTTATAACACTTTCAACACCTAAATCACAAGTCCTAATCCTTATTTCATCATCTTCAAAATAGATTGCTAAATACTTTCATTAGTCTTTGCTAAGTTATTGAGTTCCATGACTCCATTTTAAGTAAGTATTTTCAATAACAAAAAATGACACATCATCTAATGAACCATTAAATCTAGAGCTCAATTCCCAACAGTATTAACTCATCTCATTTCTAAATAAGGGCCTCTATCGAACCCTTTCTTTTATTTAAAAAACAACAACAACCCACTTCATTGAATATAATTCATGGTATTTTCCGCTTAATTTCCCCTTTAAACCATATTAGTTACTAAAAGTCAATAAATGATATTTACTAAAAAGATCTAAATCGATAAAATATGATAGTTAAAAGGAAAAAAAAACAAAACAAGACAACAAGTTACATAATATAAATAAACAATCATATTTACGCATCATTGAAACATTTGACATGCGTCCATATATACATATATGTGTATTCATTATATACAATGTCATCTTTATTAAATAGGACGAAATGCGCATCTTAAATTCCACTACTAGCCACTATCCATCTTTGCTTATCAATATTACGCCTATTTAAAAAAAGATATTTTCAATAAAGAAGTATGAAGATATTAAAGTATCAATTGCTTGTTATTAAATATGACCATTTGTTGCCTTGTTGGATTAGTTGCTATGATCAACATGAAAAAAAAACGAGGAATATATATTAACCTAGACCTACTGATGATATTTCTATTATCATTACTATTTTAAGTAATGATAATGATGATAATAGTTATATTTATAGGATTAATGTCAAATGGGATATATATATATATACATATATATTTGCATCAATTCTAAATATTTTACGGTGTTCATGGGATTGCGCAATTTAATATGTCGATTAAGAAGTAAATAATATTACCCTAGAAACTAATATGAAAATTTTAAGACATAAATTTATTGACAGATCTTTTTGTGACAAATTGTTACTACGATTGAGCAATTTCATGTTCAATAGAAAATGATTAAAACAAGGGTAAAGTTGTGCATTAAAAACCTGCTGACTTAATAAAACAAGATTATGGAATTAGTCTGTTTAAGGATATTGTTTTATCTAAGATTAGATTGATATCATGAATGGATCAATGTTAGACCACCATTGAAAACCTGGAAGCATTGGATGGTTGTTTAGTCCTAGTATGGGACTCCTCAGCTGCGCGCATCCATGATCTCGCACACGCCAATCGAATTGAGGATCTTTGATCTCGCGCGTAAATGTCGAACCTCTAGATCAATGAGCCGGTATCCAATGGTGTTTATGTTTAACCTCAAATACTCTACGATATTGCGCGACCATCTTTTATTGTCTGACATGGATTCGCTCCACTGGTTACAGCCGTTCAATGCTTCCAGGTTTTCAATGGTAATCTATCATTCATCGATTCATGATCTCAATCAAAAACTGAAAATAGTTATAATACATATCAGTATTTAAACTGTATTATATTCAGTTGTCTACAAGACCTACTCACTTTGTAAATAAATGAATTAAACATACTATAAGAATAGCATGTCATTTTAATCAGGATTCATTAGGGTGTTACAGTTTCATTTGAAACGATCTTATTTGTATGCTGTTAATATGGGATTAATGCATAAGTTGTCCTCTTATTGATTTGCTTTCTATTTTAAGAGTAGTTGAGTTGAGTTGATAGATGTAGTTATATTTTGGACAGATAAATCTCAGAAAATCTGTTTGGTAGAACTTCATTGTTCCGGCTGAAATAACTAATACAAAGTGTATTTATGATAATAATGGTAATAATAATTACAATGAAGTTTAGTTACTTGACCTTGATTACATTTTTATTTTACAGCAATCCTCTAGCAGACGTACTGGTACTATATGTTCCAATTGTCGTACAATAACAACTACATTATGGCGTCGAAATACAAATGGTGAACCTGTTTGTAATGCATGTGGACTTTATTTCAAACTGCATAATGTAAGTATACTATAAAGTCTGTGTTTATATGTAACTTATGTGACTTGATGAAGGTGGACAAATCAAGGTCATTGTAATTGTAAAAAAAAGCAGACTTGTACTTTGATCAATCTTTGTTGATGTATATGGTTTATTTAGGAATTCCCGTGATATAAACGTTCCATCACAAATTTTATGCGATAAATGGATTTATATTTGATCCTGAATATCAATGATCATATGTTTTAAACTCACACTAATAATGATTACAACAACATGCCTGTTAAATCAGTTAGTACCTACCGACACTCAGTAACTTAGTAGATAATCAGTTGACGTTCGAAGCGAAATGTACTTGGCTCGATACCGAATGCAAACATTCACACTGGGATGTGAGTGTAGCCATCTGACAGATCCCAAACAAAATGAAATGTATGTTCTGGATTCCTCTGCTAGCCAAAATATATATCTTTTTTGATAGATTTGTACCAATTACTAAATTTACATAGTAATAAAGAGATGGTTGAACAACTACAGTAAGATATCCATTTGTAGTAATCAATATCATGTTAGATAATTCTAAACGCTGATTGAATTCTATGGGTTACGTTTACTGTGTGACCAATAACTTAAGTAATTCGATGTAGGAGTAAACTTGATTTTACAACCAGCGGTTGATGGTGAGGGTTGGTCTCTAAGTTTACTGTTCAATATCTGACTAATGTAATGTAAGACCTATAGGTGATGGTGAAGAATTCTAACTCGTTTAATTAATATCATCGTATTGGGAGCGAGACATGAGTATCTTTGGTTTAGTTGCATATTTGATTGTTAGTATACATTGACGTGAAGTCAAACACTAAACTGAAACACCCTCTTATTTAAAATCACTCTGCAACTTTCTACAAAATGTGATGAAATGTAATTTTAAAATAGAAACATTTCAACTCAAACCCATTCAACTAAACTTGTAATCAACATTAAAAAGGATTTGAATGTAAATTGCTTATCTAAAAACTGGGTTTTGTTTAATATAATGATAATATCTCTTAAGTCAAACATCCATCAGAAGCTAGGAAATAGTAAATAGCTGTTTCATCCTGGTATGCAACTGATGATCACTGTTCATCCATAATCTTACCACTGGGGACTGCTTCTACGGCTTTTAGTCTTGTACGTGAAATCTTGACCTCTAGACTAATTATCCACTGTCCATTAAGATTCCATAACCATCTTCCATTGTTTTCTGTTGGCAACTGCTTCATACCTAACAAGGTTGAACTCTAATATTAAATGCTTTTCACTTACATTGTAGAATTAATCACCAGAGATTGTTTAATATATTTAAATGGTTAACCAACACAATACTATCTATTTTGGTAGCTTTTAATGTAAGATTTTTCATTCGAAGAGTTAGTTTTTTGTTTTGCTAAGATATACTGATAACATTCAATAGCACGAATGATTATGTTCATCCTAAAGTTTAGATTTAATAAACTCAGTTCAGTTTACAGTCATACTGATAGTTTTTCTAATCATAGTTCCTGTGATGCAATAGCTGAATGATTAAAGTGTTAGAATCATCCCCTTAGTCATAAGTTCAAACCCCACCTTATTTACTTTAATTTAAGTGACGTGGTAGTAGTATTATTAACCCTCGAATTCAGAGTTTTGCTTATACTGAAGTGTATAATGAATGAGTTAATTGCTTATTTATTTTTTTCATTAAGGTTCCTAGTATTGCTTAAAGTTTTATAAGAGTTTTCCTTACTTACTTACTTACGCCTGTTACTCTTAATGAAACATAGGCCACCGACCAGCATTCCCCAATCCACTCTGTTCTGGGCCTTCCTTTCCAGTTCTAACGAATTTTTGTTCACTTTTCTCATGTCTATCTCCATTTCTCAACGTAATGTGTTCTTTGGTCTTCTTCTTCTCCTTCTTTGACCATGAGGATTCCATGTGATGGCCTGCCTTGTGACGCAGCTGGGTGTTTTCCTTAATGTGTATCCTATCCACATCCAGTGCTTCTTTCTAAATTTCTTCCTTCACTGGGATCTGATTAAGAGTTTTCTTGAAATCATATTAATTATTAGGAGACTAAAGATTTCCTTTATTATTATTATTATTTTGAACCTGATAGGTAGTCAGTTTGTTGCATATCTAAGACACTTCTAGATTACATTACAAAATTGATTGTTAAAAGTATATTACGTGTTTACATTACACAAATCAGATTATATAATTTGTATATTTCTGTCGTCATTACCCTTTAAAAGTATCTCCAATAAAACTTTTATAGGAGTTCTATTAATAGACGTCTCTTATTATCACAATTGAAAGTTTTATACAAAAGATTCTTACTTAAAATATGAACAACTAACATGATTACTTATTCCTTGTAACTGGTTGAAAGTACTATACTAATACATTATATCCAATACATCATTACTTATTACCCATAAAGTGTTTGTGAAATTTCATTTTTAGAATTTTCTAATTTACACCATGAATTGTCAATAGTTACATAATCACTGATTGAAGTTGAACGTGTAAATCATTAGATACTGACTTAATGGTTAAAAGGTTAGTATGAACTGATGAAGAGTTTCATAGTAAACTGAAACTAATATCTGACAATTCCTTATTTCATTTATTATCTAAGTAGATTCAATCTATAATATAAACTATGATGCTATATTAACTCCATGGTCTTGTAATGAACAAGAACACAACTGGGAACAATCGAATGTATTTGAACATAAAATTAAAGAATATCTTGATAAAATCTAAGAACTATATAGTTAATACTTCATTTACAAAATGTCAATCAGTTGTCTTGTAGTGGCTGTGCTTCGTTGACCAATCACCCTCGTAACCATTACCATATGATCCTCAACGGTGCTTGAAATCGGAAGGTAAAGAGAAGCACCGACTACAGTTTTATTAGCAGATAACTCAGACCACAAAGCAATGAGGCGAATGAGTGAGTCAGCGAACCGAGAATGTAGAGTGTGTAGAGCGTAAATGTACATGTATATATATAGGGAAATGAATGGATCATCGAATCAACTAAGCAGCTAATAATAAAGCTGGCAGAATGAATATATTCGTAGGCGGTAAGCAATGTTCAAGCATACATATTTCATACAAGCACAGCAATAATAAAAGTACAATAAGTTGTTATAGTACGGATGACTTTGTCTGCTAAATAAGTTAACAAAAGGGCTTAACTGAATTAAATGTGAACAAACTCAATTGCACATGAGTTGCTATAGTCTCAAACTTCATTATTCCTTCGTTTCGACACTAGTCATTCTTCGTTCTTGTTCTCATTTCTTTGATATTCTTAACCTCCTACCTCCAAGCATTTCACTTTCGATGGATAATACATACTACTTATATCTATCGACATCAGTAGCACACATACCACAGTTTGAATAACATCCCGTTTATCAATACTCCCCTTAACTCTATAAATTGATTGATCATTTATTGGTTTTTGTTTGAAATATGAATAAACGATTTCTTGTGTTTGATTGTTTGTTTTTTTTCAAAAAAATTTTATCAACATTTATCATTGAACATATGAATGTATCAAGAGAAAAAAAACAAAAAAAAAACTTTTGTTGCGCGGGTAATATAAAATTTAAAATGGACAATAATGTCTCTTTGCTTTTCTTTTTTTTTTAGAAAAAAAAACATAATTTGCTTTGACACTTTATCCTAACTAACCCTTGAATAAGTTGTGAATGTATTTGACAATATAAAATAATGGGAATATTATAGTAAATTGATTAGGAAATCTGTATATGTATATGGATTTGACTTATCCTCTTTGTATATAGTTTACTTTAGTCTATTTATCTTTAAAGTGCCAGTTAGGATAAGATTGGTATTATAAATATATATATTTCTTTCCCTAAATTTAGCTATCAGCCCTTTGGTTATTATTATTATTATTATTATTATTATTATTATTAGTAGTAGTAGTAGTAGTAGTAGTATTACTATTAGTATTAACGTTATTTTGATTGTACCAAACAATCTTTGCATACGTTAGTGAAACTGGTGAATTATGTCTACCTTTATACATAAAGGAAGATAACAACAACAACAACACAATGCATTGTATCCAATGCATTTCCAATTCACACATTAAGGTATTTTCTCTAATTAAAAGCAATATTTAATCGGACTTATACAAATGATAAGTAGATAGATGGTTAGATAAATAGAATAGGTAGATAGATAAATAGATAGATAGATAGATAGATAGATAAAGATATACAAAATTAGTAAGTGAGTAAGTGAGTAAGTAAATGATTATAAATGATGGGATATAGTTGTATATAATAAATGCTCAAGTTGTAAAGGGTGATAACGAATACTTTCTTCTGGTTGGTATACTTATATATATACATATGACAAAACTTAATGGTGTGATAATTTCAATTGAGGAGTGAACTATATGTACATTTGTTGTATATATTTAATGGATTATTATTATCATTATTATAACTATTACTAACATTACTATTACTATTTGAGATAGATTCTTAGTTGTGTTGGGCGGGGCAACCTAATGGAATAATTATTTATAGAATATGAGATATACATAAATATTTATAGGGAGTAAGAGAGCGAGAGCGAGCGAGCGAGAGAGAGAGAATACTCACAAGATTGATTGACTAAATTTTGCCTTACTTCTAATTGGTTAATTTTACTACTCTAATATTAACTATCCTAAATCTCTATTGTTCTAAAACTTATTAGAATACAAATATCGGGTGAATAAATGCACTAATGAATAACTTGTCGAACGATAATAGTAATCTGAATAATAATAATAATAATAATAATAATAATAATAATAATAGTACTGTTTGCTATTCTTTTATGGTGATATGAAAAATGAATTCGATAGAATAAAATAATAATACTAATAGTAATCTGCATATATATATATTTGCGTTATGATCGGGGTGTGTCAAGTACTTATCAATGATTTGAGCTTATTT